ATCAGAATTTTTATGTCAAAGCTCAGTTTATCCAGCAAAAAAGCCAAGTGACTCCTTCTCTCAGATGGGAAAGAAAGACCCTATCTCATCCTTGGAAAGGGAGGGGACTATAGCTGATATTCTTAGAAGGCACTTCTGCCTCTAGGATAAGATTTACTCAAGATCATTTCCTTATTCTACCTTCTCTGCAAATACAGCCTCTGGCTTGCTGTCAAATGTTTCGCCAAATGGAAATCACTTTAACACACCACTCTGCACATGCCTTGTCCCAAACTACTCTGCAGCTTTAATTGCTTTGCCAGACACTACAGCAGAGAGCAGCTCATTGGACAAAAAGCTTTATCCAGTTTTGCCTCTTCAACTCCAGGTGACCCACACTCTAACACACTTGAGCACGTAACTACAAATGAAAGAGCCTCGGTGCCAAGCAAGTAGAATGCCAAGGCACTGATTTTTAGAAAATCCAATCTATTCCATACGTTTATGATCACTAAAGATGAGGAAATAACATTTGCATTTCCAGAAAAGTCAAAAGAGTTCAAGAGAATTTTAAAAAATATACAGCCTTTAGTTGAAAGCTATAAAACCTTAAAACTTCTGCTTTTTAAAAAAAAATTCAATTTGAGGGTTGTGAAGGACTGAAATGAAATAATCCTTAATCCGCAATTCAAACCAGAAGGTTTGAAATAGTTTATAACCACAAACAAAAACAAGCCAATTAAGATGGCCTCTTTTTATAACCAGAAGGAATTCCAGAGAGGTCTTCATCCAATCACATGTTAACAGGAGACTCAAGACATCAGACAGATTTATACTTGAGATTTTCAACTGAACAGGTTTTGTTCTACACAGGCCTGCTCTGAGTCAGAGCCAACTCGATGGCACTGAAAATAACAACAACAATAATTTAAAGTTCACACATTTTTCTCAAGAATCAGAAGAAATCTCAGCTAATTAGTGTATATGGTAAGGTTCCCATTAGGTACAAAAAAGAACTGACTAAAAAGGTGTTATGAATGAATACAGGTGATTTTTCTAAAACATCACTCAAAATATATAGACACTGTTACAGATAGGGAAGAGGTTGCCGGAATGGAAGGTGTATAGTTACTGATTAATTTCTTTCCTTCCAATGATGCTATGGAGTTGCAGACAGGTGTACACAGAATTTCACCAAGTCAAAGAAACGAAGCCTATCTCGATGATCTCCTATATAACTCACTTCAAGTCCCTCTGCCTCCATTTCCTTACTTGTAAAATGAGGGTTTAAATGAAAACAGGGCAAGCAATCTTCTCTGGGCAAAGGTCAATCTGGAAAAATACAAATTTTAGGGTGTTCCACGTTTCCTTATTCAAATGAATAAGTTCATAGCGTCCCAACAAAAAATAGTGTCTGCTCTTAACATTTAGATTACCACTTTACCGAATGGAAAAACACTAGTCAGAAATTTAGTTCTGTCCTTGAGCCAAGCAAATGTTAGCACTCTGGCATGTTTTCACAGCAGCAGCATGGAGACAATTTTCTATTATTTGATACTCGACTTAGATGGAAGTGACATTTTTAAGCCAAAAGACACAGAGCCCAGTAAATTAAGTGTTGATAATCATTGCTACTACTGGCTCCAAATTAACATTACATGACAAGCTTTTTTTTAAAAAAAAAAGATTCTTTGGTTCTCAAGCACAAGCACCTCAAAGCAAGGATCTCAAAATCTCAAGGTGGGCCTAGACAATTCTACATACTATAAGTTCCTCATTTAAAACCCAAGCATGGCTCTGAGATTAGCCTTTGGGAATCACTGATCTAGAAGATTTTAGGGCCTCTTTTGAACTCTCAGTGATTACAAGTCCACACTTGTTCCTGATATCAGATACACTCAATAAAAATTGTCCTCTTACAATTTTATGATCACAATTTAGATTATCAGACCTTGGATATTAACTGTATATTTATTGAACTAATTTAAAAATTAATTCCCATAGAATACTCACTTTTTATTGGTTGTTAACATACACAAGAGAAAAATGTATACTGAGGAGGTTAAAATGTCTAAATGTAGAATGGGAGTGGCCAGTATACATGTCTCTTGGGTCAAAAGGTAGTGTGATACCTTTCTAAAAATGAAAAAATATATTTCCTCAAAAACACAGTTCAATGCAGATAAAATCCCACCCAAGGCTCATCCACTATGAGTCCAGATGTAGATTTCTATATTAAATGCCCACATTGAATGATTCATTGTCTGACATGAGATAAATGGGAGGGGGGGAAAACCCCAAAGTAAAATAAACACAAAAGTCCTAAAGGGAAGAAAAGGGATGCAGTCTTGGTGAGGGACAAGGAAGGATGAAGGCTGAGTGAAGAGAGGAGGAGGATAGGGCAATGGAGAGGCTGCCAGGGCTCTTCTGGCTTATCTGAAGGGACATAAAACTTATAACTAGAGGGAATGAAGGTTCTAAACTGGCTTTCAAGGTTAGCCTCTCTCCACCTACGTATACTCTTTCAAACAAGAGGATTAAGTGGTAAAACACACACTTCAGTATGCTATCAGCCACTGGGCATTCCCCAGGACTGGAATAACTCCAATGTCCAGCATTCAACGGTCTTCCTCATTTGGCCTCACTCTCTTTCTACTTATCATTTTTTAATAGCCTATTTATTAAAGTTATTCACATCTGCTTGTCCCAGACAATATCTAGTCATTCCAAGTTCATTCCAAACTCCACTTAACTTTATTCTTACTCCACATTTGTTATTTTCCTATTTGATTCTCTTTTCCAAGAAAACCATAAAACATCCCTAAGTTTCATCTTTTCCTCAAGATTTGGCACTAAGGGCCCAAGGGCTTGCCAGCTTGCCTTTCTTCCTGGCTAAATGAAGAAATGCTTCTTAAGTAGAAAGCACTGATCTTTTTCCCACTTTGTTTACAATTATAATTACCATTTTCCCTGTGCAGTGTGCAACTTCAAGACCAGAAACGCCTGGCCTAGATATTTTTAATCTTTTCTGAATACCTTCCAGATATAAGATACACAATACATGTATGTTGAGGTTATTTGCTGATTATGTAGTCATTAGTGCATGGACTCAGCGAAGGAATCCTGCCCTCAACCTTATCCAAAGTGTCCTCTGTACATTACACAGTATCTTGCTGTTGTACAGTAAAAGAAGAAAAACACCATCAACAAAAACAAAAGCACAAAGGACAACCTTGCAAAGATAACAGAAGATACAAAAGGGAACATTGATCCTGTGAAATTTTCTGGCAGTCTCCCTATCAGTGAGTAACAAAAAGTTCCTGGGTTTAAAAAGACATTTCATAATATTGTGCAATATCACAGTTTATAAAAATGTGTGCTCCTATGTGCACCAGCAAAAGCCGGGTAGAGGGGTTGATTCCTAAATTTATGAGACTAACCCTGAATGAGTTATCATCTTCTGCACAGGGATGAAAGCTATAATTAGCTTGGGCTTTTGCAAAACTATGAGCTACAGTGGTGAAGAGTTGATCTTCTGGTCCTATCAACAGGCCTGCCCAAGGAAAAAATTACATTATTTCTTTGTATAGAGGACACTTGATAATGTCAATATTCCAAGCAAATTCATGTCTATGAAATGCACATTTATATATACTTTTTTGAGTATTACAATCCCGTATGAAAACACATATTTCATTTCTTTATTAAAAATAAAAAAACAAAAACATTTGGCAGGGAGCTCTGGTGGCCTAGTGGCAGGAAGCTGCACTGCAATCCCAGAGGCATGTGGTTTGAATCTCCTCCTGTACCAGTCAGATCTGATTTGATGGTACAGACACAAAAAATAATAAAATAAATTTTTTTTAAAAAAACCTAAAAACCAAAACATTTGGCATAGATAAGGTTAACCTATTTTTTTAAAGTCAGAATTTATGGTACAATTCTCTAAAAACTAGATTATCTGAATACCTCAATGATTGCCATCTTTCCCCCCATCTCAAATGCTAACATCAAATCATTTTATTAGATCGTGGAACAATATGGTTTATCTGGCAAGAAACACTGGCTATTACATTTGTGCTAATATAATTTCATTTCCTTGACTTTCTGTCTCTCACTGTCATTTTACTATAGTACAGAGATATCCCAGGTTACTCCTTAAAGAAAGAAAGAAAAGTCCACCTAATTCCTCATTCAATTGCAGAAGAAACTGCACAACCTAATCTGATCATTGTGTGGAGAAGAAAATATTTCCAATGACGACATCTTCCTCTGTCAATTGATTTTTATTATAGATGTCATCTCTGTGGACTATATTTATGCAGTTCTTTCTTTCCTTTTTTTTTCTTTTTCAAGATCTTAATCTTCATTTGCTGCTCTAACATTTTACTGGTTGAAAATACATGCTGTAAAATCCATGGCCATCAAATTTTCCTGTGGGCTAAAAATAACCATTCCTGTCACTTAGAATTAGCTGATAAAGAGTGTCAGAGCCTGCTCTGAATAAGTTTGATAACTTCCTGTTTATGTGGCACTGACCCTTGTCTAATAAAGCTTCTTTGCCCTAGAATAAGAGAAGATTCTGCTGTATTCTATTCCTTAATGGCCAATCTTGATTGCTTTTGAAAGCCTTTAATACATTTCCCATATTAGACATGAACAGATGTCAGGTATGTTGCCAAGGGAAGTTTCTTTTATGCAATCTTGGCTTGTTGTACAATAATAGCCCTTTCTCAACATGGGAAAAAATTACAGACCCAACTAATTTCCCTGACAGGGGAGAGTTACATATGTTTTCCACTTGTAGTTTTTACGACAACTTTGCAATTTTGCCAAACCTGGAACTAATTGGGACTATTTCCAAAAGTGGCCCAATAAACCCCCAAAAGTGGAGAGTCATTTGAAAAAAGCAGTCAATGATGGCGTACTTTTACATTTCTCCGTTAGGTCAGAGAGGAGGGGTGTGGTAGGGGGAAAGTTAGATTGCAAAATTATTTCATTTAAGTTGCTTAAACACTTACTGTTTCATATCCTCCCAGTTTTTGAGCAGCTTGAAACATAGTCCAAAGGTTAACTGTTAGAGGGACAATAAGTATTTAGATAAGCATTGCATTAACATATATCCAAGAGATGTCAATTAAAACATTTTTGTTTTGTTTTTCAATGAGAGAAAAAAAATTACTAAGGTACCTCAGAGAGCTACATTCTCAGGAAACAATTTGCCAAAGGGCATTCAATAACAGGATATATTATTACCTCTTAAAATATTTCTTAAGAAACAGTCACGAAACTACGGAAATGGTTCTACTTTTAGGATAAAGGACAAAACAGATTTAGTTCTCGTTGCCATCAACAAAGCAAGGAAAACTAAGCTGGCTGGTCCTTGAGGGGAGGGGAAACAGTGACTTCAAAATTGGGGTTGGTTTTGTTCAACCTTTTGGAAGAAAGACGTTGATTAAATAGTAATATATAATGCTTTCTTCCCTCAGATAAGAACTTTCCATTATAAATAAATAATAGCCAATATATGATTACCTTCATAATAGAATGCTTGATGGCAGCACTATATTAAAGGCATTTACCGTATTTCATGGAATGATGGCGCCTTCCAAATCCAATGACTAGGAAAACAAATTATTTCTAAGAGGAGGCTGAGTGATGCAACAGATCAAGGGGATCAAGGAAGAGACTTGTTCAAAAAGGAACTACATAGGAAGATCACTTGGTCCTTTAACTGTGCATTGACATAAATGTGTATGTATGTATACATACACATACATATATATAAATATATATACACACACACACAACATGAACAAATCTCTTTTATAGAGTTTGTATATGTTCATAACAAATTTCTATCAATTCTTGCTCATTTGTACCAAATACTACAGAATGGGGCTGCTACAGATTTGATTTTTTCACAAAGGGAGAAAATTGACTTCAAGAACTTCTCTGGCAAGGGAAATGAAGAATAAAATTAAAATAATAGTAAAAGAAAAAAGTAAGGGGGGGAGAGCTCTTGACACAACACGTTTTCAAAGCCTCATTGAACCTTGTACTATTTCAAAGCTCTCAGGAGCCCTGCCTCGGCCCTGATTTAATCTGAACCAATGCATAATGCAACAAAGCTGTTCATAGTACATTAATTTTACTTCTATTTCAAGCAACCAGTTTTCAGACAAACATTGTAATCATTCGTAGTTATATAAGTTTATAATGGCTGCAAGTGTTCTGTTGCAATCAGTGCCAATTGCTATTAGGTATGTAAATTGTTATGTAAAACATACAGGTTTGACATTCTTCATCAAAATGACACATGGTTTTAATCTAGGAAGATATGTTTAGAGAAAAGATTATTTCAAGCCAGGGGCTCATCATTTTGTGAGCCACTATATCCAGACAGAGGCATACATGCATGTTTGGATACAAAATCAGCAGAGGATACAGGTTTCTCTTCTTTTTATATGGAATTCTGCTCAGCTTGGAGTGTCCTATTCTATATACAATTATGCCATGGAGCTTAAAATGACCATAGCAAAGTCCTCCAAATAGGGCCTCTCCTGTTCAAACCGGGGTATTTCTTGTTTCCCCTGAAACTAGATTTTTATCTCTTAATAGATTTGAGATGAGGCAATATGGTTTCTCTTTGTGGTCGCTCTGTCCACCTTTTAATAGTTTCTTTCTTTCTTTTTCTCCTTTTTTTTTTTTTTTTGGTAAGGCTGCCTTTTCACAGGCAACATCTGCGCCTGATAAAGCGACGTCATAGTATTATCTAAGAAGAAAGGCGTTAAGGACACTTGAGATTGACAAAACAGAAAATGAAAAACTTTCAACATGTCTATTTCCAGTCATAATCAGTGGATTCAAACCTATAAATATCTTCCAGCAACTCTGCCCCCAAAGGGAACAATGTAGCGGAAGGAGTCAGGGAAAATGCTTGCCTGGAACAACTTCTCTGATTTAGTATAAACACAGGGCACCAGCCCCAAATTAGGATTTCAACATAATCTCTTGAGTCAATCCTTTCCCCCAGTTTGAAGAATCTGAACAGTTTTGATAGTTCAGAAATGAAAACAAGGATACTTACTCTGTTTAAAACCTAAATAGGGTATTCTTTCTATTGGCGTTTTCCTTTCTTTCATGTATTTATAAAGTGCCACGAGGAAGGCTTGCTCATCTGCCCGGCACTCTTCACCAATGGCCACCTTTGGTTTTTCTTCATTTGAGACTTTCTTACAGTTATTATGGTTATTCTTCGGCTTGGTCAAGGCTGACCTGGCCTCACATTTCACCTAGAAGAGACAAAATATGGTGTACAAATTAGGTGTAGTTCTGGAATGCTGACAAGAGATACCTTGTGCTGAAAGTGATGACTGATTCAGTAAATCACTTCTATTCTATAACAGTGTTATGGAGAGATGTCACTTAGTGCAGCCCATCGCAAACTCTGTGAGGGGCCAGATAAACACTGTAGGCTTTTAAGCCTTTGTCACAACTGCTCAACTCTGCTGGTGTAATGTGACAACAGTCACAGACAAATGACTAGATGGGTGTGGTGTTTCAATAAAACTGTATTTATAGAAACAAAAGGCTAGTGGGCTGTCATTCACCTACCCTCTTTTAGATTCTCTACAGTTATGTTGATGGGAAACAGCTTCCTTAGGTCCCTTCTTCTGCCCCTTTAGAATTTTATTTTCCCAGGGTATCATCAGTATGGTCATCAGCCTTTGGAACAAATCTTGCCTTTTTAATGATGAACCCATTTGGCTCTTTGTATCAAAATGACAGGCATATTTCTTTTTTCACAGTAAACTCAAATTGTTGATACTCTCTCCAGAAGCCTTGACAAATGAAAGCATGCCCCAGCCAGGAGATGCCAGCATCAGGGAGAGGAGCAAGATTTTTGATGGGATCCCACAGGGGTGTTCAGATAGTAGGATATAAAAGACTCCATAGTTTAATGAGTGTTTCTTACTTTTCAATCAGCTCGGGGAATATAACACAACCAGTTGCATATCTCTGGGTAGAAATGTGCTCCACAGATTTTTCCAAGGGCTGATTTTTAAGAAGTCGATCACAAGGTCCTTGCCCCATCCCCGTGTCACCCCTCAATAGGGAGGAGCTCTGATGGTGTAATCTGTAAGGAGGTAGGCTGCTAACTCTAAGGTCTCACCTCTCTGGTAGTTCAAACCCACCAGTGGCTCTGCGGAAGAAAGACGTGCAATGTATAGCCTTAGAGAACCTGCTTGCATCAGCAATGAGCAGGTTCTCACTTGGCAGCAATGAGCTGGGCTGGGCCTTTTCCCTCGAAAGCTCCTGTGGGTGGGCTTCAATCTTGAACCTTCTGGTTAGCAACTGAGTGTTAATTAATTGTGTTGTATTACACAGGGACTCGCTTGCTGAAATGGAAGACATGAAGGGCTTGCTGCAGAAGGTCAAGGACTGTAGTCTTTAATATAGATTGAAGCTCAACATCAAGAAGACAAAGAGTCTCACCCTTGGGCCATTTGACAGCACCATGACAGATGGAGAAGAGATTGAGGTTGTTAACAATTACAGCTTGTTTGGCTCCACAATCAACACTCTTAATACCAGCAGCCAGGAAATCAAAAGATGAACTGCATTGGGAACACCTGCTGTCAGGGACCTCTCCACAGTGCTGAAAAGCAATGATATCAGTCAAGAGACTAAGGTGTGCCTAATCCAGGCCATGGTCTTTGCAATTACTCGGTATGCTTCAGAGAGCTGGACAATGACTAAGGATGACAGAAGAAGAATCGCTGTATTCGAGCTGTGGTGCTGGAGAAGAGTCTTGAACTTAACATGGACCACCAAGAAAACAAACAGGTCTGTCTTGGAGAGGGTTAGACCAAATCTCTCTTTGGTGGATAGGACTTTGAAGCTCCATCTCACATACTTTGGGCACGTGGCCAGGAGAGACTGGTCCTTAGAGAAGGACATCATGCTTGGAAGGGTGGAGGAAAAGCAAAGGAGAGAAAGACTCCAGATGAGAAGGATTGATACAGTAACTGGGGCAATGGGGGTCGGTGTGTTGGAATTAGTGAGAGTGGCTCAGGGCAGGCTTCAGAGCTGCTGTACATAGGGTTGCTATGGGTTGCAGGCGACTTGATGGCAGATAACAACATCAACAACAACACAGGGACTCTGGGAATATAATAAGAGATATAATTTGCCAACAAACAAACAAATAAGTAAAGGTCAGCTGAAAAAAAAAATCCAAGTAGTTTTGGTGAAAAGCTTTATGATTAAAACAAAACAAAGGACAGTAAACAGGCCAGATGTTATTCTTTCCACACTAGAGGAGAGCTTGGAGCTGGGCATATCATGCTGCCAACTGAATGTTCCCTCCTTACTGGCAAGTTCTACAAGAGGCCTTTGATGGTTGTTAAATATAACGCTAAGTTGCTGAGCTATTTTAATTGTAAAAGGGGGAAGTACAAAGGGTCAGCCTTAGAGTTCAAGTGCGCCCATGGGGAATGTGTACATTCTAATATCCTTTACATTTCCAAATCTACATGGAGAGTTAAGGGCAAATGTTGGGGGAATGTTATGAATAAAAATGCCCCACACAGTTGCAACAATGGTTTTCATTTCAGATTTTGACCCTTCTTTTCCTTTGCCTGCAAATCTTCTTTCCTAAGCACAGCGAACATAAATGATGCTGCTTATTTATTAAAGAGAACAGCATCCCCTGTAAGGGCTTTCTTTATTGCTTATTCTCTCAAGTGGACACACTAGTTTAATATCTTTAGACTGGTCCTGGAAAAATAAAACTTCCTGCACAACTCATTCAGCTGGGTACTGAGATGAGATTTTAATTTTTAAGGGGCTGTAGAACTGGGATTAAAAACTCTTTCCCACATAGGATTTTTATTTATAGGTCTTTTCAAAGTTTAGGGTTGTATAACAATATATCAATAGCAACTGCAAAATTTAGTGTTGTCATCAGTTTTTCACTGCCAGATTTTAGGTTGCTGGGTCTAAAGTTCTAATGAAATCTATAATGTAGTAGCTTTAAATAAAAATCATAAAATCACTCCGGTTGTAATCTGTATTGCCCTCCAGCCTTTTTTTTTGAATACTTATCTGTAGTTAGGTTCTGTTCTAAAAAGCAGTATTTTATGCTCCAATTGGCTGCTAACAGAAAGGTCAGCAGTTCAAACCTTCCAGCCACTCAGTGGAAAAAAGATGTAGCAGTCGGCTTCCTGATTGACTTACGGCCTAGAGATCTCTGTGGGCGGTTCCACCCTGTCTTACAATGGTGCTGTGGGCTGGACTCAACAATGTTAGCTGACCATCTTAATTTGGTAGGTTATTAGGAAATAATAAACTGAGTACTACACGAGTAAACTGAGCCACAGAGAAGATGAATAACATGTACAATGTCATTTGGTTTTCAGGTATTGAGTCTAGAAGAGCAACCAGATAGAAATGCCCTCCAACTTATAAGAGGGTTCTGTTCCAATGATTCCTCCACAGTAAGTTGGTTCTGACAGAAGTCAAATACCTCCTTTATTTAAAAAAAAATTACCTTTTATTATATTTTCATAAACCCTACTTTTGAACATCTGCCATCAAACATCTGAGAATAACATCAGTTAATTTTGAATTGTCCCACTGTATAAGGAAGCTCTGATGGCAGAGTGTGTAGCTGTCGTGCTGCTAAACCAAAGGCGGCATCTCTCCACCGGTTCGAATCTGCCAGCAGCACTGACAAAGATGAACAATCTCCTCTTTGCCATTTACAGCCTCAGAAAATCCACTGAGGGGTCAGCTCTGAGATGGCTGTGATTTGACAGCAATGGGTGAATAACCATTGTACATAGTGTATATTACTAACAATAAGATATTAAGGAAAGGGTTTACAATAACAAATACATTGTAAATTGGAGGTTACTCAGACTGTAACTCTAGGGCTTATAATTTTAAATAGTATACTTCACTGAACTGCTTAATAAAAATATTAAATCGGTAGTCAAAACTCCCCAATTAAGAAGCTTATCTTAATTCTAGGTATTAGAAAGCCATCATCTTAAAATGTGAATTATAGAATGAGAACTGAAATAGAAAACTAGGTGATTTCCAACGTTGAAAAATAATATCGTACCGATTTTCTCTGATACAGAATGAGGTGGAAACCAATATTGACTGAACACCTACACAGATCTAGATAGCGCTGTGGGCTGTACAAATTCTACTTTAACATTTTAAGACTCCTAAAAGGAAACTATTTAAATCTCATTTTACAGTTAAGGAGACTGCAGCTGGGTGAGGATATCTAACTTGTTACAAGGCTAATGAGGGGCAGATCTCTGGGTGTAGAACTAGGTTTGCTTCTTTCCAACCCCTGTTCTTGTACAAACAGCATGAGGTCTGAGGCTTGTAAATAAAACTAGCTGAATTTTTAAATAATTAATGTGCAGGGAGAGTGGGGCAATTATCTGTATGATTAGGTCCAAAGCATCAATGTTAAGAGGGTATGAGGTATCTCTTCAGTATTCGGATAACTGCTTAACGGTCCATGTGTCACTAGCGTGGAAACAGTCAGAAATTGGACGGCACAGAGTGCGTACAGAGTAACTCAGACCTACTCTAGCAACAGCTTCTGGTGACATCAGGTTCCTCCCTACTGAACTCTATCTTGGGCCCAGGCTGGTTTCTCCGGCGTGTATGCCAAGTGCCTGGTGAGCAGTGACTGCCTTTCTTGAACTAGTTCAGTAACATTTCTGATACAAATGAGATCTTTAACATATTATTCTGTTTATAGGGACCACCAAATCAAGTCGGTGTGCGCACACATGCATGTCTGTATGGATGTATTCCACACTAAATACAGTGTATTCCAGCACCTCCAAGAATTTAAAAGAAGAGTGTTTCCACAGATCTATTGATTATAAGTGCAGATCTCAAAGGAAACAAGAGCTGGTCTTCCCGCTGATCTTGACAAAGCTGAACTTTTTGATGGGAAAGCCAGTGCCAAGGACTGTTTTTCCCAGCCCAAGCACCACACATCTGCTGTGTCCTCCACTCTATGGTTTCTGGAGAGCAGTGCATCTAAGGTGATGAAGATGTGCAAATTACAGAATCCACACTTAGTGATTTCAGTGAACCACCACCTATTTGATATTAACCACATCCTCTCACCACGGAATTGAGTTATAGCTAATCCAGCCTCCAACCTGGGCAACATGATGTACTGAACCAGCAAGAAAAAAAGTTAGAGTATTAATCCGTATTTGGTCACTGATTTGCTAGATGACCCTCAATCTGTCTTCAGTCAAATGGGGTGGATATTCCAATAATCCCAGGGCGGGGGGGGGGGGCAAGTTATGAGAATCCAAAGAGGTGAAAGACTCTGAAAGTACAACATCTGTGAAACACGGAAAGTGTTTGTAATTTAAATTAAAGAACACATTGCACATCTTGGCTTCCCTTTTTATGTTGCTTTTAGAATATAAGCCACCTGTTGACACTATGGTCTGTGGGAAATGTTTACAAGGAGAAGTCACTTGTTTTGTATTAGCACCGACCATTCATTTGAGCCTGAGGTCAAGAAGGTTTCTTTGCTACAGATCACCCTCTGAACAAGCCTGGTCCCTAGATCTGCTGCTTTCAAATGGTCCTAGCGAAAGACCAGACCTGGTCTTGGGTTGGATACATTTGTGACATCTCCAGAGAAAGGGAAAACTCTTTCCCATGTGCCTGACTTGGAAGGCCATAAACTTCTCCCTTTTGTAAAAAAGAGTCATGTAAAGCTAATTTTCCCATTTTCACTGAAAGAGTGCAATCTTAGGGTTTGATGGGTACATGGCTTGATTTCTTTTTACTGTTGTGGACACAACAACCTGAGTGAATTCTTACTATCTGTTTGCTCTGTGGTGCTGCACGAAGTAATCATCCACAGTTAGAAATGCTCCATTTGTGGCACTTTTTTGGGGGGGAGGGGAAGCCCCAAAACAACAGCAAGCCTCATACAGGTCTTGGTCACAAAGTCAAAAAGCTCACTTTCCTCGGCACTGTTGCTTCCTGTTACTGAAGGGGTCATGTGATCTCAGGTTTGTAGTGCTTCATAACGAAAGGCTACTTGAAGCCCAAATGTCTGTCCTAATGACTGGCATCATCATTCTGTGGGGATTTAACATCTCTCTTGGTGCTGACAGTCAGGTCTGCCATGCTTGAACGCCACCAATCCTTCTCTTCTAAATCTACCAGCCTTGGTGGCATCAACAGGAGCAATTAAATCAGTATTGTAATCCGAGACTCTGAGAAAGCAGAGTCCCTGGAAGCTGACTGCAGCATGGCATCCGCCCATCTGCCTTTCAATTCCATTCACCAGGAATGGGAGAAAAATCCGTTTCCTCAAAAATACTCAAATTTGCCCATGATTCCTCCTTTGGAGGAAACAAATCAGTGACTATCAAAGACAGTCCACCTGGAGAGCAGGCTGTTGATGCTTTAGGTTTTGGGGTTTGAGTGCGGGTGTTGAGTTGCCTTGCATGGAAAGAAAATAGCGCGGCAATGCTGTTCACATTAATTTTAAAGTTTCAAACAATTCCCCAAGGCATACTTGGGTAGTGATTCCAAATGACATAGGAAGGTGTTCACATTAATTTTAAAGTTTCAAACAATTCCCCAAGGCATACTTGGGTAGTGATTCCAAATGACATAGGAAGGAGCTTCATCGTGCTGGGCTCACGTACAGAACAGGCTGCAGTAAACACATGATGTCACCCTAAAGGTATGGGGCAGGGCGCCAATACAAGATATCGCCAGTGCAAGCTTGGCCAAATGCTTCTAAATCCATCTCAGTCCATTTGCCAGTATTTTGCAGGAGCCTGGAAACCACATCACAGAGTGCACTCTTCTTGCAGACATCCTCCAAGACTAAAGTCAGAGGTCCAGCTGGGTAATTTTTAGGGCTATCTTTCTGATATCCATGAGAATTCACTCCCAGAATGAGCAAAGAGCAGAACAAGACTGCCTTAAAGCAAAGACAGATTTGTTTTCACACATAAAATGAGAAAGACACACTTCAGTTGGTTGACATCATCTTAGTTTTTTGTAACTTTGGAAAAGAAAATGGAAAACTCTTCCCCTGAAAAGTGCTCACAACTTCCTGCTGAAATAATTGCATTTAAGGTAAGATTTGTAGACAGTGAATGCATAGGATTTACTTATTAATTGTTGTTAGGTGCCACTGAGTCATACTATGACTCACAGTGTCACTATGAACAACAAACCGAAACCTTGCCCATCTTGTCTTCATCATCTCTGAAATGCTCAAGCCTACTGTTGCACTTACTGTGTCAATCCCTCTTTCTGAGGGTCTTTTGCTACTGTTGTTGTTGTTGATTGCCTTTGAATCGAGAACGAATCATAGCAACCCTATGAACAACAGGCCTGAAGCCTTTCTATAACTACTGACATTTATCAAAGTTCAAAGAGTTTCCGGAGGTATGTTGTTTAGGAAGTGGATGCCACTCCTGCTAGTGGGAGTGAATACATATGGTAGACCTACAGAAAACCATTAATATAGAACCAAATTTCTGTTTCTCTCTGTAAGATTCTTCCAGATTGATCACTAATGCAATACTTCCATTTTCAGAAGTTTACTCCTTGGACTTGGAAGCATAGTGCCAGGAGCAATGTGGTCTTCCATCTAGGTTCTGAAATAACTCTTGCTGCCTTTGGCACAAAAACAAAACCTATAACGCAAATACTCTGTAAATGGAGCCATGGAAATTTGACCCATCCCCACAAGAGTAAAAAAGATCCATCTAAAAATATGAAATGACACTTCACCCTTCCTGGTGCTAAATATTTCAGGCATGCACTTTCAAGAAGCCAAAGAATATTTAGGCAATGCTAAAAAATAGAAAAGAATGCGAAAGTTTGGTCTGTATTAACAGAGATCTTTAAAAACATAAAAAAAATATATATAGAAAGAAAAACTTTATATGGACATAGGCATATAGGTTTATACACACACACACACACACACACACACACCCCAAATATACATGTATCTATATGACACATATGTTGTTGTTAATTGCCTTGCAGTCAAGCACAACTCATAGCGACCTGATGAACAATAGGCCTGAGTTTCCAGAAGCATGTTATTTAGGAAGTGGATGCCACTCCTGCTTCCAAATATGACACATATCCACATCCTTTATAGCCAAAGTGTTACATAAATAATAATGTATTTATTTACAGACATATAAGCAATATCTATTACTATTATACTGTTGTTAGATTCCATCATGCCAAATATGACTCACAGCCATCCTATGAATAAAAATCTGAATCTCGTCTTATCCTGCACCATCTTCACCATTTCTTGATATGAACCCACTGTGACAGTCAACCATGTCACTCTATCTTGTTGGGAGTTTTCCTCTCTTTTTCTGACCTCCCATCTTTCCCAGAATATTTCCTTTTTTTCCAAGGACTCCTTCCTCCTGACCAGCTGGTCAAATAAAATCTAATATCTATCTATCTATCTATCTATCTATCTATCTATCTATCTATCTATCTATCTATCTCATCTTTCTATGCCTTTGATTTTGTGTTAATGGAAATTAGAGGTGACTTTGAAAACAGTACGAGCAGAACGATTCATCCTAACCATTTCTAATTTCATCCTCTGATAATCTCGGAACCATTTAGATGAGTACATTCAGCAAGAGGACAGTTCAGCTGGTCTATTTTTGATATGAGCAGAGTAAACTATGTCATTGTGTCACCTACTATGAAATCTCAGCCTCAGTGACGTGGGCGCTTAATCATCTGTCCTTTACCCAACAGGCCAAGCTGGGAGGTGGGAAGTCTTTCTGTTGACTAATCAAAATGCCTACACCGCCCCACACACACCCCACAGACAGGGGAGGGTAGGTGGCAGGAACAGACCCAGCAGAGCGCTCCAGACTCAGTATCTGAGTTGAAAACTGCCACCGAGACACAAGAATAAAAAGAGACAGGAGAAAGAGAATAAAAAGGTGCAGGAAAGTAAATGTCATGGAATAAATGACTGTACCTTGGCAACAGCTTTGCCATCGGAATTATTGTTGGAATCCTTCACGCCACTGAATGAATCTCTTCTCTGTGGGCAGGATTTCTTTTTGCGTGGTCTGCCTTTAAGATTTGGCGCTGGAAAAAACAAAACAAAACACCAAAGGAGAACAATTTATACACGTTTTATTTGCATGGGCTTCCTTTTTAAAGACCCAGATGGTACTGTTCCTGTGATTCCCTCTACCTCTTCTGAGAAACATACACATCTGTAGCGATCTGTTCTCAGGATTCTCTCTCTTGGAAAGGGTTACTTGGCAAATGACACATCTTTCCCAAAGTTAATCTATGACACTTTAACATGTCAAATTAATACAAAGAAAAGGAAACTCGCAACTCTGAAGAATGATGATAAAGAAAAACACACTGTCCTATTCCTGAAAGAGAAACAGCTTAGAATGAACAACTGCCCTCACCCTGGCTCCCAGATTCATTGCTTTCTGTTTTGTTTTGCATTCTGTTCACAGAAGCTGAAGTGATAGAGTATCACAGCAATGTAATGTTTGAAAACATCTCACTTTGAAAGTGTTTGGAGGCATCAAATGATGGTAGATACAGATAGCTATTCAAAGAGGCATGCACGGTAACAATAAAAAAATACTGTCACATGGATTTTCTAATAATACAACCATTCTGTGTCAAACCTTAATGAATCTGGCAGGTCCATTTCAACTGGCACACTCCCTTTCCTTTTTAATGTACTTGTTTATAAAATTCTTGAGAGTTGTTTAAAAGCATTTCCTAAGATCACACACAATGAGTTAAGTTTGATTCTGTGAGCGAGTTACAATTTTTAAAAGTCACAGATAAAATGACAATCAGTTCTTTATCTCCCTTGGCACTGCCTACCATCCACACAAACACAGGCTGCAGTTTGAGTTTTCTGATTAGCAACTTTCACGTTTCACTTCAGTTACTCCAGTCAAGCAAAACTAAAACCAACCAATTAACCAGCCAGCCTTTGAACAGTACCAAACTAGAGAATAACACCCGACCCGCTTGCTTTCCAAGTAGCCACACTTCTTAGTTTTCATTACCGGAAGATCTGAACAACCCAAACACCCTTAATTGTTGTTAAATCTTGCTTAGCTAACCAGTGATTTCAGGACATTTCACACTGCGCTCCTCTGACAAACGCTATTAATCCGACTCATTGGCTCGGCTACAAAAGTGGGGCTCACAGCTTCGCTGTGGATAAAGCCCAGGAAAAGCCTTCACAATCCCAGAGCCCAGAAGTTCCCAAGTGGGGTTTGGGGCTCACTTTTCCCCTCCCAGAACAGAACTACTGTCCTTTCGTGATGGGATGGGAAGGGTGTGTTCCCCAAACATTCCTCTGCCAAGAGCACCCTAGAAAGGCAGTGGGGGATGGATGATCAAAGGAACACACAACACACACACATAGACAAATCACAAGAGGAGAGAAGGGGTGATTACCCATTCCCGTCGAGGACCATCTGCCCGCTCGGTGCTCAGGATCGCTGCGGCCCGTGACCGCTCCGCCACATCCCCAAGTCGCCACTCGTGTGGCTGGATGGCAGCTCGCCTCCGAGTGCGCACGGGCCCCGCGCGCAGCGCCCTGCCCCCCGCCGCTCCATTACTCATGTAAACACACGCCGGTGACTCGCACCCACAGTGTGTGGGATGCGCGCTCGGGACCTCGCCGGAGTTGCCAGACAGCGCAGGGAGGGCTCTGTTCCCCGCACCTCCCTCCCCGGGGCCACCGGGGTGCAGGCCCCTGACCTGTCACTCCCCCCTTCTGGTCAGAACCTCAGGCCACCATCCCGGGACAGCCTGGCTGCCTGGGCGTGGTGGGCGCTGACTGTGAGAGACTTGGGGGGTAGCACAGGAGTGGTTTCCACAGCCAGGACTAAGTCTTTAATGACTGTGAGCGAAGGGTGTGCTTTCACGTCCCTTATCAGAATAATAGCTGAGCAGAATTGCTGACAGAAACAAACAAGAGCCGGGGGAAGGGTGGGGGCAGATGGGAGGCGGTTAGTGAAAAGGAACAAAACAATGTCACTCTGTCCTGAGACTTGTTAGGCTCATCTTCTTTTGGGTGAGAGGCATTTACACAAACGTCAAAGGTACTTATTACCAGAAAAGCTTTCAAATCCTTTTAAGAGACAGAGATAGGACTTGTATCAGCAGGCAGCAGAGGTTTCTAGAACCAACCACTGCTCCCACTCCCACCCAAATGAGATCTATTTTTTCCATCCTTAGAGCTATTTTCAATGCCCAGAGAAACCGAGGGTCATTCCTTTGCAGATTCTGAGAGTTACAGGTCTAGAACACAATGTAAACTCTTAAAAAGTGGGATTTCATCAAGAAAAATGTCATTTGCTCCTTAGAAGGCAGGTATTTCAAGGTATGGTTCCAGGGAGTCCTATCAGCTTCCCAAAGCTCAAATTGAAGTTCTCTTCCTGCCCTTGTCTTTTCAATATACCACTTTATTCCTTGTAAGGTTCATCATCATACTAGGCTGGAAAGTCCTTCTGGGCGAGACTTTGTAGGGTTTCGTCTCCCATTTGTCCCAGTGCAATGCACAGGAGGCAACAGTGTGTAACACCAACGTGTTGAATAGACAAGTGACTAATGGAAATAATTTGCCAACATACTCATTCTTTGTTTCCTCATGAGCCAAGACCGCCAACCTCACCATGTGGTATTCTTATCACACTGGACATTGGTAAACCATCATTCACCTTTGCTATTTATTCTTAAACTCTGGGAAGAGAAATCTGAGTTTGTGATGGAAACTGAAATAGGAGAAGTATGGCCTTTGGCTCTGGATTTGCTGTCAAGCCACTGGAGAGGGTTATGATCCTGTTCCCCACTCAATGCACAATGCCCAGAGGGCTGCGAGGCAAATCCCAGGGTCCCAGAAATTGCAGGACTGGGTAGAATACACACTATAATACAATCTGATAACTTCTGGATATAAAAAGATCTGAGAGTGAATTTTAGAGATTGAGGAGGGCTGGCTCTTGGTGACAAAACTTTAGGTCCCAAAGTCAATTTTATTATTTTTTCCTCTGGTGTCAAGAAATCAAATCCTTTTCTAGGTAGCTGAATAAACATAATTGGATTTATGGTATGTTGGCTGTCACCAGGGGTGATAGTGTCAGTACAGGGGGTTTGGTGTTGAATTCTTTTATAGGAAATAATCACACCTCTTCACAGTCACTGTGAATGAATCTATATATGATCTCTTCTTGAAAGCTAAATGGCTGTGGACCTAATGACAGACCCCAGAATCCAGAATTAGACCAGCCCCAGTAGTACAGTTCTTAGAGTGGTGCTGTTAACCTGAAGGCGAGCCTCGCTCTCAGTTCAAACCCCCAGCAGTTTCATTGAGAGAAAGATGGGCAATCTTCCCTCACACCATCCGAGGCCTCAGAATCCCAATGGAGTCGCTTCCACTATAGCAACAATGAGGTGTTTTGGGTTTTTACCCCTCAGTGGTTTAGGGGAGACAGAGCTTTGTCAGCAAAGCCAAACTGAGAGACCAGCAGTCCACTTACTGATAACATATTTGATTCTAGGAAGTTCTACTTAAAAGAATAGTAATAATTAGGAAAAAAATAACACAGTAACGGCATACCTATGCTTATATGTGTCCATAATTCATAGCCGAGCCATTGGCTTGGTTCATAACATAACAAGTATTTCTACAAGTGCCCAATATCATACATCAATATTAATAATAATTAAAAATGATAATGATAATATAAAACACTGATCACTTGCTACATGCCAGTCACTGTTCTAATAACCGCTTTACAGACAACAGTTGCAAATTCACAAAAAGCCCATGAGGGAGGCACTAACTATTGTTAATCCCATTTCGTAGAGCAGGAAACTGAGAGATGATGAAATGATTGGTCTCTAGTCATGCAACTGTTTATGGGTGGAAGAAAGATTCCAACTGAGCAGCTGGACTTTTTGTCTAATAGCCTTCTCAAAATAATTGCCTGTTTTAAACCAACTTCTACAGGACACACATACATAAGCAAGCACTCACTCCAGCTCAGAAAGGGGTATCTATATTATTGACGTGTTATCAGCAGGCGCTTTCCCCAAAAGTTATGTGCCGCCGAGTTGCTTGAGACCCATAGAGACCGTATGTACAACAGCTGTAAACTCTGCTCCATCCTGTGCCAAGACTCTCACTGTCTCTGACACACCAACCCCATAACCCCAGTCACTGAATAAATCTCATTCAGGGTCTTCCTCTCTTGTGCTGTCCCCTCTACCCTCCCAAGCATGAGTCCCTCTCCAAGGACTGGTCCCTCCTTGCAACATGTCCAAAGTATGTCCAGACAAAGCCTCAGAATCCTTGCCTCCCAGGAGCAGCCCAATTTTGCCCTCTCTAGGATGGATCTGTTTTTTTCTCCTAGTCATTCATGGTATATTCAATACTCTTCTCTAGCACTACAGCTCAAAGGCATCAATTCTCCTCTCTCTAAGGATGCTTAAATGGCACAGGGCATTGCAGGCCAGGGTAGGCAGCAAACAGCCTCACAATGTTGACAGGAGGACAATTTGCATTGGTCCTGGAAGTGGGTGACAAGATTTCTGCCAAACCACTGAAGGCCTGTAAAATTTAGAAACCAAAAGGACACAGGCATAGTGACACACACGTTACTGCCTCACGATAGCCCGGTTATTTTTTGAGAACAAAAAGTATTTATTTTTTAAAAAATCTATTATCTTGAACTTTGTTCATCTTACTCAAGTAGAGGTTTCCCTCACATTTCAAAGGTTCACTTTATGCCACTTTGTTTTTTCCAAAGTACTCATTTTCACGGACCAAAGGAAATCTGACGATTTTTGGTCTTACTCGGGGGGGG